AGGAATAATTCCATCACCTTGCGATAGCTTTTTTATCGTACATCCCTTTGCGTGCTTGATTCTCTTTTGCGCGTGTATCGGTTCGCTCCCCTTCTATTTTCGGCCCTGCAATAACTATATCGTACAAAATTATATTAGGTCAAAGTTCGACGACCTATCAACACGAGCACTGTTTTTCACGGAGGCGTTGCAGTGTGTGATAAACTGGTGGAGCACGGGCACCAATAGTCAAGAGGACTACCATCTATGGCACAAGCAAACAGAGGTAGGTATCTTGATGGAAAAGCAAGTGTTGTTTTTTAAACGTCTGTGATCTTACATGCAGCGGCTTCGGCGTTTGTTTCGTATCCCGATGTATTGTGACGGTCGTTGCCTTAAGCAAAGATAGACTATACACTCGTACGAAATCCAGTTACAAGGATTGAGAGACACATACCCGCTGGACCCTTCCGTTGCAATAATGTGTGCATCTGTCAAAGAGAGTGTCCAATATTGAAACGCTCAGTATAAACACACAATACACGTGGTAAGTGTACGTGTCAGTTTTATGTTCTATTTCTGTTATGAACGAATGCTACAACTAAGAAGGTAGACGGGGCAATGTGTGGATATTGCACAACTTGAGTTGTCACTCATTGGAGACACTTGTTCGACATCTCATCTTCGTCCCTCCCTTTGGTTTGTTCTGTATACCTACCACGTGCTCGAACATGTGCTCCTCCGCCGGCACGTGGACAGATGATGGACAAGCTCATCCTGGCACACACATGTGTGGCACTGCGAGACTCGGAGCATCTACACATATACAAAAGCCTCTGGACACACGACGTTACCGTGTGCAAAGAGTGCTGCGATGCATACCACCTCTCCAGGGTAAGTAGTACCCAGCACAAACATATATGTGACAATTGATATCAAGCACAAACATATGTGTGACAATTGATATCAAGCACAAACGTATATGTGACAATTGATATCAAGCACAAACGTATATGTGACAATTGATATCAAGCACAAACGTATATGTGACAATTGATATCAAGCACAAACGTATATGTGACAATTGATATCAAACACAAACGTATATGTGACAATTGATAGGGTGATGTGGTAGCAAGCACTGCGGACTGACGATGGCGACGTATGTGTGATGAGTTGCTTTGAATACATGTACATGTACTTATGCGTATGCCAGTCAGAAGTATGCCGAAACGCCGCCAAAACGTGTGAGGTGAACGAACGTGCTCACTGTGCATGAGCCACGCATAGAGAGTGGTGAATGTATGTAATAGTGGCTGTATAACACCGTGGTTTGGTGTAAGATACTGTCAGTATGCACTTGTTGCAAGACGCATCATGGGTGGTGTACGTTAGTGTGCTACACCTCTTGGTGCGACGCACAGATATTCCATTTGATCGGCAGGGCCATCGTGTGTGTGGAGTATACTGCACTGGGCAGATATACGTATGCGTTCCGTAAACATTGCCGATCAGGCGTATGCATTAACGGGAATGATGAAAACGTTGATATCGACAGGACAACTGGTACAAGTTGTATTTGGGCAGTGAGGAACTGACGGCGACCGCGTTCAAGGCGATATACGACCAGATGGACACCACTCGTCTGCTGCAGGCTTTCGGCTATGTACGTCGGATGTGTTCTGCTGGGTTTTGCTGGGGTTTTCTGGGTTGTGTTGGGTTTCTGTATCACGCTTACCATGTTTGGCAGCATGTTCAAAAGCCGTTACAGTACCGGTCCTAAATGCCCTTTTGCCCCACCCACCCTTTTTTTTGGACCAGCAAACTTTCTGTGCGACGAGTTTCTGACATCAAATATATCTTCTCGTGCACACCACAGTACGTGCAAACGTCGCAGACGGATAAGTGGGTGCCCATCTACGAGGTGTTGGCTTATCCTGAGCTGCTGGAAACATCGAGCGAACTCAGCGATTCGTTTGCCACCGTATGTTTGCGTCGCATTTGAGAACAACGAATATAGTGAGTGCGATGGACGCGTTTTCTTTAGAATGCGGAAGCAAAGACAAGCATGCCTACGCCTAGACTCTGCTGTCACAGCACTTGCAGTGGTGGTAGGGATGGCTCTGGTTGGATTAGTTCGGATGATGTCATATGTATGGCCTTATGATCAATATTCACTTGATGTGATGCATACGCGGATCATACCAATCATCGTATAAACACCAAACATCATATATTGATATATGTTATCATAATATTAATAATTCTATAATAATATCAATTATATATCAAACATCATATAATAATACAATAACATAATATTATTAATTATATAATAATAATATTGATTATACATGAACCATCATAAAAAAATTCAACATGATAATTTTGATTATATACTAAGTAGTAATATTAATTGTACATCAAAAATCATATATAATACAATAACATGATATTATTGATTACATCAATCATCATATAATATCATAATACATAATATTTTTAATTATATAATAGTAGTATTAATTGAACGTCAAACATCATATAACATAGCAATATTCATTATATATTCACGCAGATCATACCAATCATCGTATAATAGCATCCTGATAATAATGATACATCAAACCCCACACATAATAATATGATAAAACTAACTATGCCTTGACGCGGATTAAATATTATGATAATACTAATTATGCCCTGACGCGGATTAAATAATATGATAATACTAACTATGCCTTGACGCGGATTATACCAACATGTACTCAGATGATCCAAATGTACGACACCTATGAGGTGGATCTGTCCATGCCTGGCTATTCGAGTGGGAAGGGCCTGTTGCTCATCCACCCGAATGACATCGTCAGGAACTGGGTATGCGAGTGGCCGTGTGTTGGTGTTCTATATCACCGTGAAAGGCTTGTGACAGGGTTTTCAGGGTTTCTAAAACCGTGAAAATCTCGTATTTGTAACGGCCCAGTGTGTACCGAGTATGGACATCGTATTATGACAGCAAAGCCCTGACCAATAATCAGCTATACTTCTGGGGTGATATAACGGGATTATGTGGTCACTCATGGACAGGCATATCGTCTGGCGTATAGGTTTGTTAATGGCCAGGCATTTGGAGTGACATCTGGACGCTCTAATGAGGTTGGTATTGTAATAATTAGAGCCGAGACCCCTTTGGCACGTCACATCTTTTGTTCCAGTATACGTAACTGCCCGAGTGTTTGCGGGTTCGGAGGGTATAGTCAATCACTTAGATTGGTTTGATTGGCTACGTTGCTGAAGTGCCAGACCTGCTTGTCAGACAGGGTGTCAGTATCATCAGCCTTACTTGGAAACAAT